ATGACAAAAAATTACTCATGGAGGACCTCGTCATAGTATAGCCTCCATAAAACGTTTTTCATTTGAGTTGTATTTTTGGATGGAATTTCTTTAAAATTTTTCAAGTTTCAATGGTGTAGGGTATTAAAAATTCGGTTCAGCCGAACTTAAATTTTCCAGTCCCAAAATGTTCATACAAGATACATAAGTCAAGTACCCCATAATTTTTACACCAGACATGGGTTAGGTGTGGACATGGAAAATATTGTTCTCATGTTGTCAAAGGATCAACATTTTTACAGTCGTATTTCTTATGAAATTCGATATTGTTTCAGTTTCAGATCTGTATATTATATCGACAATCATTTGACGTTCCGCAGGAAATACATGGTTGTCCATATTCGACGGACCCATCTGGCAACGCCATAACTTTTGACAGAGATGTCACATCGCTTAATGACATACCGCGTTTGAAGCGTCTGTCCAAGCAGATTTTTACCATGAACCAATGCACGCCACGCGAGCGCTCTGAAATAGTTGAAATTTACATTCAACAGAAGAAGTCAATTGTGAAAACTCAACGTGCTTTTAAAACATTAAAAAATGTGAGAAGTGCGCCTTCTAAGAACACCATTAAGCGTTTATGCCAAAAATTTGCGACTGGTAAGGCTCTTTCTAATCCGAAGAGGCCACATAAAAGTCGACAAAGGCGATCGGCCGAGAATATCGCTGCCGCACGAGCCAGTGTTGAGATGTCCCCAAGAACATCCCAAAAACGCCGTTCTCAGCAGTTGGGTATGGATCGGTCCACTTTACAATGGATTATTCGCATTGATTTGCATTTGTTCCCGTACAAAATTCAATTGACGCAAAGAATGTTGCCTGCGGACAGGCCTCGTCGATTGGAATGGGCCCAAAGAGTCATGGGTCCGTCGAATATGGGCAATAAATTATTGCTCCGTCCCAAAACCTGTAAGAATATACAAAATTTTTAATTTTTTGTTTTTAAAATTTTTAAAGTTTTCATAAAGTGAAATGCTGAGGATGTTTGTTAGACGGAACATCGACTGAGCCTTTCTAATATGTGTGAAGATTTCTCATCCCTCAAAAGCACAGTTATAGGATTATGTCTTTATTATGTCCCACATTAAGACATAATATTGGGCTTTAGAGGTAATATTCCCTAAGACTTGCATTTTGTTCTATTCCTTCCACAAAAAGGTTCTTTTGAAACCCTAACCTATTAGATGTTGTTAGCCAATATCATACTTTTTGTTAATTCCGAGCCCATCGATTTTTTCATACATTGTCTCCTCACTTGCCCTTGTTCATTTTCCATTTACTTGTCATTTTCCCGATATTACAGCTTTTGTTATTTAATTTTTTTTTTTCAATATTTTCCTTCAAACTGTTCATGATGTTGTCTCCTAAAGTTGGTAATTTTATTTCAACGTATGTGTGTTGCGATTTTTTTCCGGGTTCAGGATATGCCACTACTTCGACTGGTACTTAAATTGCCCTGCTTTTTTGGTGTGATACCTACCTCTTCTCTTTTTCATCTGCTCTTGGTTTTTGGTGTTGTAGTTGTTTTGTTGTCGCAAAGTATAGTTTTCAATGTTTGTGTTGTTAAAGTGTTTTAATCTCTCTACTCGTCCTATTTTTTTGAGTTGAGTTAGTTCTCTGTGTGTGTAAGTGTGTGGTGTGATGTGTTACTGCGGTGTGTGTGTGTCTCTGTAAGTGTGAGTGCGTGCGTGTGTCGCTTGTTTGGTGCCTGTCCTAAAAGAATCTTTTGTCGTCTTTTTATTTGAGCTTCTAATTTTCAAGTTAAGAGAGAGAGAGCACAGCAAAATAAGTGTGGTATGCTTGCGCATACCGCACACTTTGTAAATTGTTTTACACTTGTCGGCGTTTTGTTGATGTTGCTGTTGATGGCTGACTGGCTGGCTGTTTGCTATTGCTAACACGATGCTTGTGCCACTGCCGCAGCTCCTGCTGCACGATGTTCTAAAAATGCCTTATCATTTAAATGCAATAACCAAACTATAAGTACACTTTGCTACTTTGCGACTACTTTTCTTGCATATCATCATTGCTATCAGCAACACCATTCCTGTTGTCGTCGTCGCCGTTGCCATCATCGCTGCCCGTCCTTCTCGTCGTTGTCTAATATCAGTGGCAAAAGGCTTACATTGTTATTGCCTTCCCCTCCGAACTCCTCCATTCCATCAGATCCTTTCATGTCCTGTCTGTCTAGAAGTCTTCCTTGCTTGCTTGCCTAGTAGTTTCCTTCCATCGCTGCCACATTTAAAGTTTCTTCCTTTGCAATGTTGCTGAGCAGAGTTCTTTTTTTTTGTAGTTGTTTCTGCTGTTGCTATTGTTTTTGTTGCTGTTTTTTTTTTTCCTCCTTATTTATTCTTTGTAAGTTCGGTTTTGCCATGGGTTTTCTATGTGGAAAAGTTCATTTTAATTAAGTATAAATTACAGTTGTGCGTTGTGCGGGTGTCAAAATGGTACTCAAGCGATTTACAGCAACAAAACCAAAAACCCAACGAACAGCAAAGAGAAAATTGTTCCAAGACACATTGTCTTGAATTGCTGGTGTGCATTAGCCAAGAGACACAAGGCGACGGCGGCAGAGGCGGGGGATGGCGCGCGGTAAAAGGTGTTACAGTTATTAGTATTGTTTGCAAGCTTCTTATAAAAACCGCTTGCCATGTTGCAGCACATAAATTTATGACTAAGCATACCTATTTAGAGCATTCTCGGCTCTCTAATATGCTTACAGTGTATGCAATTTTCGAAAGTTTAATAAAAAAATGAGAAAATAAAACAGGCACCCATATATACACACAAATTTTTAAGGAGTTAATTTGAAGAGAAAATTGACATGGAAGGTATTTTTTATTTTTTAAAAGAGAAATGAATTATGAAAAAAAAAATAAAAAGGTGTTCGGCTGGGAATAACTGTCAATTATAGCCAAATTAATTATTTAAAAATTCTCGGTTGATCTTGTATTCTATAGAAGAAAAGACCCTCGGAGGGTCTTCTATTGCATAGCAGAAAAGGCTATCGGAGGGTCTTCTATTCTATAGAAGAAAAGACCCTCGGAGGGTCTTCTATCCTATAGATGAAAAGACCCTCTGAGGGTCTTCTATCCTATAGAAGAAAAGACCTCTGAGGGTCTTCTATCCTATAGAAGAAAAGACCCTCGCAGGGTCTTCTATCCTATAGAAGAAAAGACCCTCGTAGGGTCTTCTATTCTATAGAAGAAAAAACCCTCGGAGGGTCTTCTATTCTATAGAAGAAAAGACCCTCGGAGGGTCTTCTATTCTATAGAGGAAAAGACCCTCGGAGGGTCTTCTATTCTATAGAGGAAAAGACCCTCGGAGGGTCTTCTATTCTATAGAGGAAAAGACCCTCGGAGGGTCTTCTATTCTATAGAAGAAAAGACCCTCGGAGGGTCTTCTATTCTATAGAAGAAAAGGCCCTCGGAGGGAGAAGTCCTTCGAAGGTTCTTCTATAGCATAGAAGTCTCTTGAAGGGTATTTTATATAACAAAAGACCCTCAAAAGGGCTTCTATAGAATAGCAGTACCTCAAAGGGGCTTCTATGAAATAGCCCCCTCAAAGGGGCTTCTATAGAATAGAAGTCTCTCAAAGGGGCTTCTATAGAATAGAAGTCTCTCAAAGGGGCTTCTATAGAATAGAAGTCTCTCAAAGGGGCTTCTATAGAATAGAAGCCCCTCAAGGGAGCTTCTATAGAATAGAAGTCCCTCAAAGGGGTTTCTATAGAATAGAAGTACCTCAAAGGGGCTTCTATGAAATAGAAGACCCTCAAAGGGGTTTCTATAGAATAGAAGTACCTCAAAGGGGCTTCTATGAAATAGAAGACCCTCAAAGGGGCTTCTATAGAATAGAAGACCCTCAAAGGGGCTTCTATGAAATAGAGGACCCTCAAAGGGGCTTCTATAGAATAGAAGACCCTCAAAGGTGTTTCTATAGAATAGAAGGCCCTCAAAGGGGCTTCTATAGAATAGAAGGCCCTCACAGGGGCTTCTATAGAATAGAAGTCCCTCAAAGCGGCTTCTATAGAATAGAAGTCCCTCAAAGGGGCTTCTTTAGAGTATAAGTCCCTTAAAGGGGCTTCTATGGAATGTATGACACCCAAAGGGGTCTTCTATAGAATAAAATACCTTCAAAGTAGCTTCTATAGATTAAAAAACCTTCTTCTATAGAATAGAAGTCCCTCAAAGGGGCTTCTATAGAATCGAAGTCCCTCAAAGGGGCTTCTATGGAATAGGAGACCCTCAAAGGGGCTTCTATGAAATAGAAGACCCTCAAAGAGGCTTTTATGAAATAGAAGACCCTCAAACGGGCCTCTATGGAATAGAAGAACCTCAAAGGGCCTTCGATAGAATAGAAGACCTTCAAAGGGGCTTCTATAGAATAAAAGACTCTCAACGGGGCTACTATAGAATAAAAGACTCTCAACGGGGCTACTATAGAATAGAAGACCCTCAAAGGGACTTCTATGGAATTTAAGTCCCTCAAAATGACTTCTATGGTATTGAAGTCCCTTGAAGTATCTTCTATAGAATAAAAGACCCCCAAAGGGATCTTCTATGGAGGTGAATTTTTGGAAGGCCTTGAAACGGATTTCTGTAACCAAGTCCGTTTGAGGGTCTTTCTTTTTCTTGGAACTCTCTCAAGGGACTGCTTTACCTATTCAAATGATCACCACTGTAAACTGGTAGCATCTGTATTTGTCTCTGCATATGTGTAAGTGTGTCTCCATGATTACTATTATTATGGCAACTTTTACACACATAAGTTCTTCTTTTGCTTGAGCTGCAGCCGTTTCTTTTTTTTCTCTTGTTCTTCTTGTTGCTGTTCGCTTTCTAAATAGCAGTAATTGAATTTTGTTGTTTTTCCTACTTTATTGTCATTAAGATGCTGATTGTATTTTATTGTTGTTGTTCGCTCATACTATTCTCTCTCTGTCTCTGTTTTTTTATTTACAGTTAAAAGTACAAGAGGCAATGCGTAAAAAGGAGAAATTTCAACGAGAACATGAAGAGGTAAGTAAAGTGGCGGGGTCTACAATCATAAGCTGTGTAATGTTCGAGTGTATGTGTGGGTGGGAAATTTTCTCAAAGTATAGAATCCAGCCAGCCAACCATCCAAAAAAGAAGAAAAAAAGAAGCAACTTCTGACTGACTGCTCCGGATGCATATATGCTCTGACATAATGAAGAGCCTTATAATGCATAATTTAGTTATCGCATATTCCCATTGCACTTCTGTAGCTATTTCCAGTTGAATATGAATTTATCAGCATGATTGTGGTGATGTATGTTCCAGAGTGTGTGTGTGTATGGGCGGGTGTGTGCGTAAGAGGATTTTTCTTCCGGAGATGTGTGTCACAAAAATAATGTGGGTGGTTGTCTGTCTGTATATCTCAAGACAGACTCTATGGTTTGTTGGGCCATAAAATTCTAGACAACATGATTTCCATACAGACAGAATCGTATAGACAACGTTGCGTATACGCATCGTTGCACATTACCACAATTATTCGAACCAATGAACGAACAACTGAATGCACGCACACACACACGCCAACAATTTCCAGTCAGCTACCCAACCAACTTTCATTTCCAAAGGATAAAGTTTGCAATGGCAATTACTCATAGATAAATATTAGTTAGTTAGAATGATAGAATCAGGAAATAGTAATTTCAAGTCTCTTATTATTTATTCAATTTGTTGAATAATATTTTTCATAGGAACATTTTTTTTTTCAATTTCAATTTGTTGTTTCTTTCTTTCTTGTTTTTTTTTGCAAGGCCTATAATTAATTGAAATAATAATCATTTTTCATAAAATGATTTAATTTAGTTTTGGCAGTTTGTGAATGTGAAATGGAATTTTAATAAGAGACAATGAATCAACATTTTTACGGCAACAGCTGCAGCTACAGATATAATAAATTGTGGTAGCGAATAAATTAACTTCAATATTATGGTGCATTCGTGATGGGCATAAATTATGGGGAGAGCGAGAGAGTTATTTTAATATATGTGAGCATTAAATTATATTTAATTTTTTTAATTATTTTAAATTAATGTGGAGTGGAAAATTTGACTTTTTAATTAGAAGAAAAAATTGTCCTATCATTGAATAGAATGACCAAGAGCCTATAGTAGACGTAGAGTAGGGCTGAGGAGTTAAGCCAATGTTGATCAAACTTCTATTCCGGAACTCGACTCCACATTTTTAAAAACATTCGGAGTAGGATACCTTGAAATCGAACAGTGTTGGTATATTTGTTCGGGATGCCATAGTATTTTGTTGTTGTAAAATGGTCAGGCATAATCCCATACTTGTTGTTTACAAAAAACATTTGTTTATTTGTGGATAACGATGGTAATGTTTAACAGGGGGTAAGGTAAGGAAAATCTAGGATTCGAAAAGAGCCACCTAACCTCATAAGTTCCAATTTTTTTGTTTGGGATATTATCCACCCCCCTTCGTCAATTTTGTTCGGGATGTCATAGTATTTTGTTGTTGCAAAATGGTTAGGCTTTATCCCATACTTGTTGTTTTTATAAAATCCTTACATTTAAGGAATATGGAGTCTTTGGCAATCATTATGTTCAAAAATTATTTTGTTCAGAAATTTTAAACCTCAAACGAGCCCCCAAAGGGGTCTTTTTAGTCCTTTTTTTCAAAATATTGTTAAAAAAAATCCCTAAAAAGCGTTCGTAGCCTGTTAAAATATTCCACAAAATTATTTTACATTAAATTCTACTATAAGTCCCAGAGTATATTAGAGTCTAAATCTAAAATAAACACCGGAAATTCATAAATACTAAAATGATTGGAATGGATTTGCTTGAATTGGTCACCTTTGGCACGAATTATGGCTTTCAGACGGCCAATGAAACCGTCACACACTGCCTGAATGTTGCTCTGCGGTATTTAACCCATTCTCGTGGATATTAAAATCAAGTCTGCAAAAAAAAAAAAAGCGAAAATACAGGGTGAGATAAAATAACTACAACAAAGTCAAACGCCATAATTTGTACATTTTTTTTTTTAAATTTTCTTGAATGAAAGCAAAACATGTCGGAAATAGCTTAAAACTTTAGATTAAGTTTAGATTTTTTCGAATTAGTCACCTTTTGGTGCGAATTATGGCCTTCAAACCGCAAATGAAACCGTCACACGCAGCCCGAACGTTGCTCTGCGGACCATTCCCGGCGAAGCGCCTGCTTGAGGTGATCGACACTTTGGTATTTTTTCGTGCCAATCTTGCTTTCCAAAATACTCCAGACACAATAGTCCAACGGATTGGTATCCAGAGATTTTAATATTCGGCATTTATTCTGATGCCACGTTCGATTAATACGAACGTAGAGCGACCATCGGCTGTTATGGCGGCCCACATCATCACCATGGCCGGCGCTTGAGTTCTGGTGGCCAACCGAAGGTTCACATTTTCAGCTGACCTCTTTGGCAAGTAAACACGATCATTTTGTTTGTTTACAAACTGCTGGACAATGATTATTTTCTCATCGGAGAAAACCAAATTCGACAGTTCACCACTTTCGGCCAAGCGAAGCAACTCTTTAGCCTTTTTTAGTCTATTTTCTTTCTGTTGCGGTGTAAGTTCTTGCGCCTTTTGGAATTTCAATGGCTTTACTCCGAGCTCATTTTTCAATATTTGCCGAATGGAATATTGCGATATGATCAATTCACGAGCCGCCATTTTTCGGCCCCTGCGACGCGGGTTTCGATCAAGTTGCTTCTTTACTTTTCGAACCATTTCTGCAGATGTTGATGTTTTCTTCCGTTCACTTCCTTGACGTCGGGCTGCGCTACCAGTATCACTGTAACGAGCCATGGTACGAGACACAAGAGATTTATTCATATTTAAATTTTGGAGTGCTCTAACGATAGCCACCTTTGGTTTTCCAGCCAAATATAAAGAAATCACACTATCACGATTGAATTCCACCACGAATAACTTTTTTTCTGGAAAATTCTCACCAAACTGCTTTTGTATGCTTGTAAATAATATAATGATCTGTCACTGGAATAATTTTAACAGCTGTTGGACGTGTGGCTTAGAAATGACAGCAGTGTTAAGTTTGTTGCAGTTTTTGTTATCTCACCCTGAATAGCAACTGGAGAATGAAGAAAAAAACAATAGAATTCTTTTTTGACCCTAACCCCAAATCCTTGCTGAATTTCATGAGGGTTGAGTTATAATTGCAATCAGTAGCGTGGTTACAAGTTAACATGCCAGATGGGCGGCCGGACACATATAACTAGGTCCACTCATCTCGGCGAGATGGTAAGATCAATATAAAACATAGTGGGCCTAGGACCAATATTTCGAGGTGTTACAAACTTTTTAGTCCAATCAATCTTGTAATTCCCCAATACATAGTATTGTAGGCTATAAAAATTTAAAAAAAATATTTTTTAAATCCACGTTTAAAGCTGGAAAGGCCCTGAAAAATATTTTTTTAATCCACGTTTATGGCTGGAAAGGCCCTTAAAAATATTTTTTTAAATCCACGTTTATGGCTGGAAAGGCCCTTAAAAATACATATTTTTTTAAATCCACGTTTATGGCTGGAAAGGCACTTAGAAATATTTTTTTCTTAATCCACGTTTATGGCAGGAGAGGCCCTTAAAGAATTTTTTTAAATCCACGTTTATGGCTGGAAAGGCCCTTAAAAATATATATATATTTTTTAAATCCAAGTTTATGGCTGGAAAGGCTCTAAAAATATTTTTTTAATCCACGTCTGTGCCTTAAAAGGCCCTTTACACATTTTTTTTTTTTTAAATCCGCGTTCATGGCTGGAAAGGCCATTAAAAAGTAGTTTTATAAATCCATGTCTATGCCTTAAAAGACCCTTAAGAAATATTTTTAAAAATCCACGGTGACTTAAAAATCTACGATTACGTCTTAAAAGGTCTTTAAAAAATATTTTTAAAATCCACGGTTATGCTTTAAACAGCCCCTAAGAAATATTTTTATAAATCCACGTTTATGCTTTAAAAGGTCCTTAAGAAATATTTTTAAAGATCTACGTTCATGTCTGGAAAGGACCTTAAGAAATATTTTTAAAAATCCACGTTTATGCTTTAAAGGACCCTTAGAGAGATTTTTAAAAATCCAGGTTTATGAATTAGATGGTTCTTGAAAAAATCTTTAAATTATGAGCAGAAAAGTCATCATCCTTAGAAAAATTGGTTTGAAATAATTAATAAAAAATTGATCTTAGAAAAACAGAAAAATATTCCTGATTTGTAATTTTTGTTCTGATTCCTAAAGATTTTATCGACAATAAATTCTGAGAAAATTTTCAATTTGAAGTTTTGTCATGGAGACTAAACAGTGTGATTACCCCTAAATAAATATTATTTCTTAATATTTATTTGAAATAGCATAAATGGCCATTAGAGCTATGGGGCGTATGAGAAATATTTCATTTCCCAAATGTTGCGTATACGCACCCTTCTATATCCCAATATCATTTATTTAGATGTTCAACGAATATATTTTTTACTGAGCAAAGGGAAATCTTTTCTGGTATAATTTGATTATATTTGCTTACCGTGGGCTTCTTATCGTTTGATTTCGGGTCAATCCGGACATTATCGTATTATTTCTGGCATTACATCCATATTTATAGAAAAGTAATACTCTCCTCATGATATGCCAATAATCTCATATCTTTCTCTTCGTACCCCACTGCGTATGTGGAACATTTAAACTGTCTCTGTATTGCGTATACGCACCCATAAACCACCTAATATCATAATCCTCATAAGGTAGCTACTAGCTCTGGCTCATGATTTTGCAGATTTTTATATTCATCTATGCGTATCTAATGCTTTCATTCTCTCGAGTTATGCAAACACATTCTATGTGCATGTGTTTATGTGTGTGTTTGTATGACTATTATAATGTCTATTATGCAATTGCAGTGCAATATTAAATGAAATTTTCCATTTGAATGTTTGAGCGTAAAATCCTTTGAATTCTAGGTCATCCAGTC